GGGTTGCGGGGAAGCTGACAGGGTTCCGTTGTTATCAGTCGAAATGGAAAGCATTTATGTGCTTCTGGACGGAACCAATGCCGCACGCAGTGGAGAATCATCATCAAAGTCGTCCTCATGGACTAGTTTTGCCGTTTTCTTGTCTGCATGGGGTAGGTTCGGCGGAGTGTCGCAAAGAAAGTTTCAGTTTCAGGCATGCCTTCGGCTTTAGGCCGCGAAAATACGGCGATCACGTTTCGTTCTTCCATCAACTCATTCTTCCTCTTCATTGACTGAGCCATCGGGCGCATGGCTTGCGTTTGGATCTCCTATTGACGAACTAGTTTTGCCCCTTTCCAACCAAGGGCATACCGCTCCTTCAGCTTCCTCGGAGTATTATCTTCCGCAACTGCAACGTCCCCGGACGATACAGAATGCGAGGTGCGTTCACTGGATGGTCTTGTCGAAAGCTCCGGACTCTTCTGAGTGTCCGACTCCGCAGCTGCCCATTTGGGATGGTTGTTGAGAACCAACCATGCGCGATAGTTCAACCAAAAGATTCTTGATCGAAGTTCTTGTATTCGTAGTCCGTAACATTCGTCTTCCCGACGTGCACTGCAACAGCCATTGACAAGATCCCATCCTCACCGACACTTGTGGGGTTTGACGCATGCACGCGTGTCAGCTATAGCTGGGACTTCTGGAGGTCAGCGGAGAGGTCGGAAAAGTGTTGTTTGATGCTGGTGGAGGTATGTTGTCCAAAGCGACCGTTTGGAACTTCCTCCTTTTTCGGACCGCGCTCGACGAATCTGCGACGAAGCGTTTCAAAAAACTCTTTTCCGGCCTGATTCAACCCGACGAGAGGGTTCTCAAAGGAAGCTAGCCATGCTTTTGCAAGGGCCTCATTCTCGCCGGAGTCCTAGTCTTTTCCTCGATCCATGATTTGTTCGGGGAAGAGAGACAATGCCTCGCAGGGAGGCTGGCGGTCGGCGTACGGAGTGACATGTGAGCTATAAACGGTCCAGTGTTTGGACGGGAGCGAGTATGCATGATTTGGCGGGAGCGTATGTGATTGTGGCCAATTACACTTCGACGCTTGTCGTGTCTACCCAATAGAATTGACCACGAATCGAGTCTATTGGGTTCTAATCTATTTACCATATTCGCGAGTAGGATAGAAATGGTGCGGACGGGAGACATATTTGGGTCTATCGGAAAAGTCAAAAATAGATTAGATAACAGACTAGCGGTAGAGATACTCTAAAGAGCCTTTAACAATCGATACATCCAACTGCGTTTGTTAGATTGGACAAATCCTTTCGGTTGTTCAAGGTAGATTGTCTCCTCCGTTCACCATTCAGAAAGGCCTTGACATCCAATTGTAGTAACTTGAGTTCCTCTTGTGTGGCCGATGCTAGAATAATTTGAAACGTGTTTGATCTGGCAATGGGTGCGAATATTTCCGTGTCATCGATACCATATTCTTGTTTGTATCTTTTTGGTACAAGTCTAGCTCGCCTGCGTATTAACTTCTTGTGTTCAGCAAACTTGTTGATGTAAACGCACTTTCCTGTCATAGGCGTTTTGTTTGGCAAACTTACTGGATTCTTTTCCAACCAAGCACACAATTAAAGAAAATGCATTCCTGGCATTAAAATGACATTGCGTCCTGGTGTGCGCTAGCACTTATCTATTGCGACGTAGATATGATGCGCATTCAGAAGATTAGATACGACCGCCAGATAACTGCGAGTATTCTTGCGGTTTCGGAAACGATGGATGTCTCACCACATGTCGTAACAACTTTATTTGTGCTCAATCTTATATGCAATCTCATTTCAGTAAGCAATAGTCGACCTACCAGTTTCCATGTATTCTGCTTTTCAATTTGTGATATCTCTTCCCGCATTGCATCGCTCCACTCGTTTTCTTGAAGTCCAGACACTGCCTGCTCATACGTTGTGGGTATGTAGTCGTTCTCATTCCCTAATCTTGCGCACAGAGCGATCATTGCAGTGTAGTCATAGCGTTGCGGCGTCCTGGTCATACGTCCTGAACGTGTACGAAGACGTTGGGGCGTAGGTGTATCCATATCTATCAGAATCACCCCCTACTGCACATGTGTCCGTGGATTATTCATTCTGCAAACCATCTGTGACGACTGGGCGCGGGGTAGCATTGTTCTCAGGATCTCCGATTGTGTCGCTTGAAATGTCGTGGCCTAGTTCTGACTGGGTTTCTTCCTGCATTCCAGAATTACTTTCACATCGATTCGTTTTGCGCCGAGCCGATTCCGGAGAGGTGCTGTGGCAATTACCGGCTACGAATATCGTTTCTACAAACCTTACATCACCATATACGATGGTTTGGGTGGTTTCCGGAAGAAAAATCTTATAGCTATTGCCTAGACAGTATCCCACATGAATTCGGCGACGTGCTCGGGGCGAGAAGTTTCTATGTCTGTGAACCTTAGGTATGTGTGATTACGCCTCGCTTCCGAAAACACGAAAATAGCTTTGATCACAAAATTCGTCATAGATTCGAAAGGGCAGCCGGGTGCATGACATGCACTTGTGTATGTTCTATTTCGTAAATATCATGCAGTTGCAATGGAAGTTTTCCCATAGATGATTATGCATATGTGCAGGAGTTCTGTTTTGATGCAATGGTCTTGCTATATCCATCAATGTTGTATTAAGTCTTTCTGCTTTTCCAATAATTTCCGGAGAGTATGGAGTTGTTAGTTCATGCCTTATTCCTTTCTACCTTAACCATTGAGAGAAACCATCAAACATCAATTCGTTAGCGTTGTCGGGAACGAAGTCTTCCCATTCTATTCGCCGTTTGACTCGCTGATTCCAGGTCTGGAATCCTGTCTCTTAGCCCACTTGGAGCTTCCGATTTGGACTTAACAAAGCAAACCATCGAGAGTCCGGTTGCTTCGTCATAAAGAGGTATTAAATACCTTGCCCCAGTACTTCAAAGATATTGTATAGGACCTACTAGGTCTGTATGTAATCGTGCCACGGTTTTCAAAACCGTGGAACGATTACATACAGACAACGACCTTTATCAACAAATCGGGCCTCAACTTGCGGCTCGATTTGTTGATAAAGGTCGTTGCATCCTGACCGATTTTGATTTGAAGCATGTGTCACAGTTTCTTTGTTGGAATGACAGTAGTGAGGGCATCTCACCGTCCATATATACTGTGAGTCTATCCACTTTGTCGCTTACAAGGCCTAATCTCTGATGCCACAATTCTGCTAAGTTGTTTTCAGTTGTGGTTACGAGACAACAGCCCCTTTTTTGAGATTGAGGCCATAGCAATACTATTTTAAAGACCGTTACCGCATTCTGCTCCAATCATGTAGGCGTGATTGCTGTTGGAATCGTTCACTTTGCACCTTCCTGTTCCATCACGTTTTGATTCGAAGACTACGGTGAAACCTGAACGTCGACTATTGCTCACTGAAATGAGATTGCATGTAAGATTGAGCACAAATAAAGTTGTTACGACATGTGGTGAGACATCCATCGTTTCCATAACCGCAAGAATACTCGCAGTTATCTGGCGGTCGTATCTAATCTTCTGAATGCGCATCATATCTACGTCGCAATAGATAAGTGCTAGCGCACACCAGGACGCAATATCATTTTAATGCCAGGAATGCATTTTCCTTAATTGTGTGCTTGGTTGGAAAAGAATCCAGTAAGTTTGTTGTAGAGAGCAAATAACCTTATTGGAGCCACAAAATTCATAGAGTAGAGTGCGCAGAAGACAAGCGCTCGTCCTTAAGGTTGAGCTGCCCAGCGGGACGGCGAAGAAAAAGGTAACCAAGTAAAAACTTCAACTTCATCAACAGCCAACATTGCCCAACTCATCACACCTCATATGAGTTTATGGGCCCAGAAGAATTATCCAGACACATCTAACACCTACGTACAATACGATTGTCAAGATTACCGCCATGATGGATCCTACCCAAGATATTAAGATCGACACATCAAGATGTTATGTGCAACCTCTCTGCCCAGAAAATTACAACATCTGGTCTAATAAGATGGAAATCATCTCAAGGGGTAAGGTTCTTTGGGAATTAGTGTCGGGAGATGAAGAAGAACGGCAAGAAATCGCCTCGACCGAACATCAAAAGTACAGTAGACGTCGAGACGTCTAATATTCTCATGACAATTGAAGACAGTTGCTTGTTACCCCTGATAAGCATGCGAAACCCCAAGCAGATTTGGGTCACGCTCAAGAATACGGTCAAGTCAACCTCTGAGGCTAGTATTGACGCATACTTGGTTCAATACCAGAACATCAAGATGACGCCAACTGAGAAGGTGATGGTATAAGTCAACCGGCTCAAGGAATTGGAAAATAAACTCGCTGGAATCCGTCACAATATTACAACTGCTGATATAATTCGTACTCTGCTACGACGTTTAAGAGAAGAGTTTTCCGTTATAGCTGACGTAATTCGAGCCACTTCAAAAGAAATGAAAGAGGCAATTTCTATGCTTGTAGTAAGTGAGGCAAACATCACTACAGACACCACTGAAGAAACTGATCCTGTATCGACGGCATTGCCAATTTCCAGGGATGCCTGTGAACACTGTGGCCGCCGAGGCCATGTCAAGTTGAGTTGTTTCCATAATCCAGACGGTCCCAAGTATCGAAGAGATACTAGACGTAAATTCCAACGTGGACCACTCTTCGGAAACAGGAACTGCAAGGAACAGAAAAACAAGAACGCTTACACCACGTTCTTGACATTCATGTCCGGGAAAGTTCCGACCCAGCACAAATGGTATTTCGACTAAGGTGCTTCTGCGCATATGTGTAATAACCATGTAGCATTCAAAAATCTCTTTGAAGAATCGACCAACCCAATGGTGGCTGTTGGAAACCACATGACTCGTCCAGTTTTAGGATCTTGCTCTATACGATGTACAGCCACAGTGAATGGCGGGCCGAACAAACTCGAACTTAAAATGTTTTGTTCGTCCCAGATCTAATGTGCAATCTGACATCAGTCTCGCAAGCGAGAAGAGCCGGCCTTGAAGTAGAATTCGATTCAGACAAAGTTGGTCGTGGTGTATGTGTCATTCGAAATATTCAGACAAAAGAAGTCATCCTCATAGCACTCGAGCTAGATGAGAACCAGCTCTATGAAGTGGCAATAAAAACAAATATTCAAGCCATGTTGACAACTACGGAAGCACAAATATTATGGCACGATCGTCTCTGACATAGTAGCAGAGATGTGTTAGAAAGGGCAGTTCCGATTGTTGATGGCATACCCCTAAAGCATGTTGGACAACTACCCATATGTAGTCACGTGAGAATGGAAAAGCAAAACGCAATAACCGTCCACTTTCTTCTGAAGAATCCAAGCTATCAACACGACCTCTAGACTTGGTACATGCAGATCTAGCCCGTCCGATGAGGTATCCGTCTATGGGTGGTAACTACTACTTCATACCCTTTTACGATGACTCTAGTGCCCTTGCTCTTGTACAATTTACTAAGAAAAAGTAAGATGGAAGTACAGCACTAAAGAGCATGATAATAGAGCTGGGAAATGTGCGAAATAGCAAGGTTAAATGCCTTCATGTCAAACGACTGCGATATGATGACGACTCGGTCTTTCTTTCCAAGAACTTCCAGAGTTGCAACTCTATGTATTATTCCAGTCTGTTGCAGCCATGGCTGCAACAGACGGGAATAATACATGAATTGACAGCCGCTCACTCTCCCGAATCTAATGGGAAAGCAGAAAGACTAAATGGAACATTGATGGATATGGCTCGTGCTATGATGATGGATATCGAATTTGTTCCGAATCAAGAAAGATTTTGGGCAGAAGCCGTTAATACCTCCAACTACGTGAGATATAGGATGTTTACAAGTGCAGCCATTGATCTCAATAAGACACCTTTCGAGACCATCATGGGGAAGCGCCCTTGCTTGAAGCATGTCCGAACATTTGGGTCAAAAGCATTTGTTCACATTTCCAAACAGAAGAGAGCAATAAAATTCAAGGCAAGAGCCGAAACAGGTCTTCTATTTGGCCTTGTACGCGGCAACAGTTACCGTGCGTTCCTACAGAACGAGGGACGAAAGATTGTTTCGAGGGATGTGACATTCGAAGAGCGAAGCATCGAGTTAACTACTCGTCAACCAGATAATGTCAGCAACAGTGATACTGACAGGGACTCTTCTAAAAAAGATGTTGAGGACTCAGGTACTTTCCATGGTGTTGGCTTAAGTGATGATGATGAAGTCAAAGAGATAGACATTGAATCTAACACTCACTATCCACAATTACGACGCTCTGGTCGCCAAAAAACAACCTGAGCGGTATGCTGGTCCAGTCGCTCTACAGTCTACATTTGGTAATGATGACGATGGCGCTCCATTCACTTATGAGAAATCCATCGCTAGTACAGAGAAATCTAAATGGAAAGAAGCGACGCAAGAAGAAATCAATGACATCAACAGTAAGAAGTCGTGCAACTTGATTGGCCACCCAGAAGGCGTGAAACCTATCCTAAATGGGTCTTCCGCAAAAAGGAAGATGGTAAACAAAATCTCCTGAGGCATCGGGCACGCCTGGTGGCGAAAGGATTCAAAGGTATGGAATCGACTACGACGAAGTATTCGCACCAGTAACCAAGTACTATACGTTACGCTTTATTCTCGCATTTTCCGCCGATCAAGACTTGGAGTTACTGCAACTTGATGTTAAACCAGCATTCCTAAATGGAGAATTAGAAGAAGAAATATATCTAGAGCAACTAAAAGGCTTTGTGATCGCGGGAAAGAACATTTGATGTATCGGCTCCTCAAGGCACTCTATGGCCTTAAACAGGCGTCAAGAGCATGGCATCGGACTATAGATCAGTTCCTCAAATTCACATGTTTCCGCAAATCTTCATCCGGTTTCAAGCTATACATCCTTGATGTAGGACAAGATCGCATTTACAATCTCGTATACGTAGACGACCTACTACTTGTTGGCCGCAACATGATCATGTTAAGAGGCATTGCAACAAAAATTGCTAACAAGTTTGAGGTCCGTATCGAGCAGGATGTGAGCAAATTCCTTGGAATAATAATCGAACAAGATATGGACAGAGGGATCATGAAGATACACAATGCTGTCATGATTAACCGTATCCTGAGAACTTTTGGCATGAGCAATTGCAAAGTCGCATCAACACCACTCCAATCAGGGACGGTGCTCGACTCTACTATGAAGTCAAAAACTCCACGAGACCGCCAAGCCATGGTGAATGTACCATACAAGGAATTGATTGGATCTTTCATTCATTTGTGTAACACAACGCGCCCGGACATTGCATTCGCAGTCAGCTTAATATCAAGATACATGCAAGATCCCGGAACACTACACTAGATCGCAGCAAAGACGTAATAAGGTATCTACACGGTACAAAATGACTTGCCATAACGTACACACGCAAAGATCCCCAGCAGAAGGTCACCGGATATCATGGGTACTCTGACGCTGACTTCACAGGGGATGGATATGACCGCAAATCTACAAGCGGCTTTGTAATACTTTTCGCGGGGCAGCCATCAGCCGGCGTAGTAAGAAACAAAACCTAATTGCTCAGTCGAGAGTACAGTCTGAATATGTGGCGCTTTCATATGCCATACGAGAATCGCTCTGGTTTATGCCTATGCTCCGAAAAATTCAACGCTCTCCACTTCCGGGCACCACCACCATCTTTACAGATAATCAAGGAGCACTCAGTCTATCGAAGAACGCAGTGGCAAATGGGAGAACAAAAACATATAGATGTTAAATTTCATTTCATTAAGGACCACGTGGAAAGGAAGAAAGTAGAACTCTGATACATTACAACGGAATGGAAATAGACGACTGCTGACCTAATGACAAAAGATCTATCGCGAGGAAAATAAGAACAATGTGTGAAACGCTTACGTCTCCGAGTGGAGAATAGACATGCGATTGGGGAGAATTGTTACGAAGATTTGGTGAGACATCCGTCGTCTCTGTAACCGCAAAAATACTCGCAGTTATCTGGCGGTCGACGAGCGCCAGATAACTGCGAGTATTTGTAGATACGACGTATCTAATATTCTGATGCGTATCATTTCTACGTCTAAGTAGATAAGTGCTACCGCACACCAGGGCACAATATCATTTTATTGCCAGGAATGCATTTTCCTTAATTGTGTGCTTGGTTGGAAAAGAATCCAGTAAGTTTGTTGTAGAGAGCAAATAACCTTCTTGGAGCCAAGAAATTCATAGAGGATAGTGCGCAGAAGACAAGCGCTCGTACTTAAGGTTGAGCGGCCTAGCGGAACGGTGAAGAAAAAGGTAACCAAGTAAAAACTTCAACTTCATCAACAGCCAATATCGCCCAACTCATCAGACCTCGCATGAAAAGTTACTTCCAGGACCAAGTCACGTTTCTCACTATCCACTTGCGAAGTACAAGACAAGTTCTGCATCCCATTCACATAAGATTTCTTGCCGTTTCCAACTGTAATTTTAATCTTCTAAGTTTGCTTCGGAGGCTTTTTGAACCATTACTTCTCATCAGACATGTGAGCGGATGCACCAGAATTCATAAACCATTCTGATGTCTGAGTATTTACCGCATTACATTTTGTAGCACAGTTGTTTGCAATGAAAGTAACGTACCCAGACTTTGCAGAGTCTCGTTTCTCGTCATAGTCTCTGGTCGACCTGTATTGCGCTCGATTTCTACTTCTGCGTCCCGTTGTGGCATTAGGGGATACCTAGTACCTTTTCTGTCCTGATATGTACGATATGAAACGCTCTACGGATTGTTAAAGCAGTCTGCTTTCATATGACCTGGTCTACAACAGTGATGACACTTTTTATTTTATATCGCAGTTGATACCGTTGCTGTCTCACCTGCCATGTGGTTGTTCATGTTTTCTTTTCAAAATCTAGGCTCATCTCATGTGTATCCAAGATGCCAACTGCTTCTGCATTCGAGTTTTCAAGAGCACGAATGACCTGGCAAGAAACTTCAAATCCAGGACGTACCCCCCGGGGTACTGCGCGCCGTTTTTCTTTTTCGTCTTGAGTTTTTCCAATTCCCGTGAGTTTGTTCTCCAATTGCGTCAATCGGTTTAGGAGTTTTATGATTCTTTCATTTGGTTTCATATTGATTTTTGGTGTTTGCTCAAGTATGAATCAATACATGCCTCTGAGACTGCCTGGTGCATTGCCTTGAGAGTTTTACAGGCTACTGCAGGGTTTCCTTCTTCAATCACAGGAGCATTACATGAATCTTCGATTAAAAGGAGGATTGTAGTTACTGCCATATATTTCTTCTGTCGAAAGAGGCCTTGAATTTTCATATTCTCTTCCAGATAGCTGTTCGTCTCCAGCAACCAGTTTCCATAGTCCCTTTCGTCTCAGTATAAGTTCTAGTTTCTTTGACAACAAGAAATAATTGTTGACGTTCAAATGCTCTAGCTTGAACCTTGACGTATCTACCAGCACGGATGATGCACTTGTTTCATCGCATTCCATGGTCATTGCAGTAAACACTTGGTCCGATAACCTGTTCAAGATTGTGTTGAATCTGGATTAATTTAATTTCCTATTCAATTGATTGACTACCAATTCAGGAGGCAGCTGCTCGTATTCTTATACAACCTTCTCAGTCGGACCGAAGTTGATGTGCAGGCACCAACTCATACTATCCTACATTTACTGGCATTCGAAAATGTAAAGCCCGTGTTTGGACTGATCTTCGAATACTGACAATGCACGTGTGCGGTGAGGGATCCCTGCTGGTGTCTACACGTGTCCAACAGATATCTGGCATTGCTGTAAACAGTGCTGGGTATTTCTTGAGTCAGGATGCAGCGATGCGCTACGTGCAATTCCCGTCTTCGCAGCAGTGTGCGCCTTCTGCTGGGAAGCACGTCCACGAAAAGTCGCCCTGGGAGGAAACTTTCGAGGCTGTTGGGAAGGTTGTAGATCATCAGGCACCCGGGCAAAAGATGCTGGGAAGGGGTGGCTACCGTGGAGCACCTTGGTTGTGTGCTAGATACTGTTGCCATGAGGGTTTTGGAGTCCAACACCAAGGTAGCGCGACTGAGCAGGCTGGCCAAGCAAATCATTCTGTCGGCTCAAAGGAACAGATGTTAGGTATTGCTGAAGAAGCTGCGACATTTTTGCGGAGTGACTGTGTCGATGACACTGGCCGTTCCGTTTCTGCGGTTCTACACCCGCAGTCTGTACTTTGACATGACACTCTCTAGTCTTGTCATGGGGCTCGAGGAGCGAGGGCGAAGTTGGACGGCTACGCAGCGGACCGAGCTTGCGAGGCCCAGGAGCTTCCAGGCCAACGTTTCTCGCAGCGAAGCTGCGCTACAAGAAGCGGGGGTCGGTGTGGACACGGGGACGGGGCCGGGTACTCTGACAAGTTTCAGAAGGTGCGGTTATGCCGGAAATTACTTCGCAACTCGCCGTCATGGCGTTACTTCACAAGAGGGGAAGGAAAAGACCTGGTCAGGCTCGCGCCCGACCTCATGTTGCACTTCGATGCCGCCCACGTAGAATACGGAGGGATGCTGAGATTGCAAGCGTAGGCGGGCTCCTGGAGTTTGTGTGTTTAGGTTCGAGGCATTTGGAAGGCAGCCCAACGCGCGCACTCGATCACTTTGAAGGAACTCAGCGCTGTCTATGTGCTGTTACAGAGGCCCTTTTCCCGCCTACGTCAGCCGTCTAGACGTTTAGCGCCTCTTGTTGCACGAGGACAACCAGACAGTCTGCTTTATTCTGCACGCCATGGTGTCGGCTTCAAAGCCCAAGATGGTATAGGTACGTCGACTGCAAGTTATGTTTCAAAACCTAGTGGTGCAGATCGTAGCATGCTGGCTGCTATCCGAGGTCAACAAGCTCGATGGCGCTCTCTCTCAAACTTGAGATCCTGGCAACGTCCAGGCGACGGATCAGCTGCTGCAGTCGATCCGAGACGAGTATCAGGACGACTTGGTGGTGTTCGTGCCCCGCTCCTAGCAGAAACGGCAGTTGGACGACGGAAATACTTAGCGACGCAAATGGGGGAGAGCTGAGGGGACGGAAGGGCGCCCCTTTGCAGTCTCCCCTTTGACATGCCTCCGCTGATAATTCGCAAAGGGATAGCGGATGGGGGGAAGAACGTCCTGGTGACTTATAGCTGGCCAGCACAAGCCAGGAATACTCAATTGGTGCGTCAAGCCACTACGGTCAAGGTTCTCCATCCACGAGGCACCGGCGTTTCTCTACTGGAGAGTACAAAAAACATCAACGCCTATTGATCCATCGTTTTCACCACAATGGAGTAAGGGTGGTCCGGCCGGAGGGGACAAGGGATGCAGTTTTGAGTCGGTGTGGAGATGAAGGTGCAAAGGAAATCGCCGAGGCTGTAGCTGATTTGCAATAAAATTACGGATGGAGTGGTGGGACTTGGGTCAACCGCTCGAGGCAGATAGTTTTCATTCTGCGATGAAGATGGACGACCGCGGCGTGTGGCGAAAGAGTGAGATGATATTCGCCTACATTCGTTACCGGAATCTAAAAGGGGAGGTCGGCCCGACATCAGTGCCGCAGTACGTCACAGCAGTATCTAGATATAACGAGCTCCTAAAATTTGACTCCCCAACTCATGCATCTATGGTGTACGCTCTCGTTCGCGCGTACGAAAACAAGAACCATCTTCAAAGCGTCGTTCATATGACTCGGG